TCGGCGTATTTTTTTTCTTAAAATTATTTTATTTCACGCTTTTTATCGGCCGACAAGACGTGTTTGTAGAAACAGTAGAAAATCGGCGACTGCATGTTGATTCATACACCACCAGAGACACGGAGGCACACGTAGAATTCAATATACAGTAAATATAGGCGGGCACACATAGAAAATAAAAATAATAATAATAAAAAAAATAAAAAAAAAAATAAAATATACTGATCGAATTGAGTAACCTCCTCCTTTTTCGAAGTCGGTTAAAAACGTCCGAAACTGCTGTTGTTGCGTAGTATAATAAAGCGAGCGTGTGCACAAAAATGTGAATAACTCAGAAAACCGAAAATTACTGCAAGATATCGTTACAGATCCTTGTTCGGGAAGCTTCCAGCTTTCATTTAAGCCTATGTGGTAAGTGAATCGAGATGAAGATCACAACTTTCACCTTACTTAAACAGTAAATACGTCTGTAGTTTATATCTCTTTCCATATCAGTTAAAAATAAATATTTTGTTGTGCAACTTACATAATTATAATACTAAAGTATTATATAAAAAGCTAATAATACTGGATGAATATAATATTTAAAAAATAATGAACAACATTATGTTAAACTTTGCCCGGAAAAATTGACTTTAAAAAATGTTCAACTTTGGAAGCCCATATCTTCGAAATGTTAATAATAAAATCATTAAAAATGTGAGAACATTATGCATAGATTCCATATAAACTTGTCCTACTAAACGGATTTCAAGAATTGTGATTTTTATTTTTTGACTTTTGTCCAAGTTTTCGCCGTTTTTCGCCACTCTGCGCCACTCAGCCCTGGTTTTCGAAATATTCATGAAAAACTGTCAGGGACAACGTATACATACGTCAATGTGCATATTTCTTATTTCATAAGCAACAGCTGATGTATGTCTATAATGTGTGAATTTAAAGATCCAATGTAACGAATCTCACCTTACAAGATTTAATACAATATACGCATCAAAACCTTAGGACATAGATTGAAATGTTATGTAGCATCACGAAAATTCTAGAGTGTCGAAAGTTCACGAAAGATCGAAATATATGGAAAATAACATATATCCTACGCGAAAACATAAATTACTCCGCAGAACGGGAGGTGCGTGTTATGTGATTCTCAAAAAGCGATTTTGGTAACAGCGACCAAGGATAGCAACCGGCATACATACATATATAAAATAAAGGCTCGCGGTGAGAGTCAGCTTAATTCGCTGTTCCGAAAGAGAAGACGAGGTAAGAGCCAACAGCCGCTTTTAGACCAATGTTGGAGTTCCAGTCAGGAATAACTCGAAGTGAATTCAATACACAATTTATTGTTTAACAGTATACCTAGCTAAACCTTATTCTAGTACTCTAGTTTTAAAAGTTGTTCTTATCACGGTGAAGTATGGATAAAATCTAATGAGAAACGGTGTTGAGAAGAAGAATGTAAACTATTGGAAGGAACTATTGGTTGATATTTTGGATAAGGGTGTGGGAACAGGAAAAGTCATTGGCTAGGTTATTTGCGAAGGAGGTGGCTTAAAAAAAAGGAGTGATTTATTAGGAAATGTGGAAGTGCTTTAGCGGGACCTTGGAAAAATCTTGAAGCTGTAGGAAATTCTAGAGGCATATTTTGGTGATATAAGACAGACAGGAAAGCGCAGAAAGTGGACAATAGGGTAAAGGAAATAAAGGAAGAGCCAGATGTAGAAGAGAAAGTCGGATAGTTCGTTAGGATTTCCAACACCAACTTAGGGACTCCGACAAGAGAGTACGGCGAAATTAACTGGACGCCTGCCTGGAGAATAGAAGGAGAATACAGGAGCTCATTCCTATACACTCGTCTGGCATAGAGAGTAAGGTGAACATACTCAGCTAGACGCCTATCGGTCGAGAATGTGCAACATCCCTGGGGAAACGTTTTTTTTTATCGCCAACATCACGATTATCTTGTACCCACCGACTAGAATAATCAATTATCGACAGTAGTTGCCAAATTACCGACAGTATGTCACGTATCGATTATCGATCCTATTAGATTCGACCGTCGGTAATCAGTATAGATTATAGATACATATATATGTATATATTTTCATTTATATTAATTATCTTATAATTTTGGTTTAGAGTAGGTAATATTTTTCATACCAATAATTGGATATTAAGTTGGAATGATTAAAATCAGATTATGTATTATTTTATTTTAATTCTAATAAATGTATAATTTTGTATGAGAAATTTCCGTTACGCTATGGTGTGCCTACGTGCCGCAATACTCGCCCGAAATCCTTGAGATCAGCGCTAATCCTAGAAAAGGATGGAGCTACTATTTCTATTTACGGCATTATTGACCATTAAATTAATTAATTAACTGAACCAATTTATATACGTAAAATCAACCAGTAATAAATTATTCTTGGCCGGAACCACAATTATTTTCTTCAACTAAAAAGCTATAAATCGGAATAGATTCAGCTCTCGTAGAATTCGTGCGCAGTAAATTAGAAAAGGACAGAAAATGTATTTTTCGCTAAAACACCGTTATACTAGTATTTTTCGCTAAAACACCGAACTGTTAGTCAGAAATTAGAGAGCAATATTTAAAATATAATTAAACCGTTAAATTTTATAATTAATGTATAATAACGAATTTATATGAAAATTTAGATATTCTGAAGTCACAGAAATTCCAGGAATTCGGCGAACCTGCGAGTATAAAAGGGCGAGCGAAACCCGTCTAAAATCAGAACAGTCTTCGAAGTCGAGTACGACACAAGTATCATTACTAAGCATAACAGGAACAGTTTTCGCTGTCAAAGGGCCAAAAAAATTCTTAATACTTGACTGGTCAAGCGGGTATTTGCCATTCGGTTACTTAGTCGCTGGGTCGTTCTAGTAGCCAGTGAACAACAGGCTCCCCATTCGAGCGACTTTGTAAATTGAAACTCCGTTAGGAGAGTGCTATACTTTGCACCAAGAAAGGCTAAGACATCGAACGAAAGCTCTCAGCTACTCATATTTAATTTTTGGTCGAATTGTTAATGCGCCATCAGATTCTCGGAGCTCGCTCTGGGTAGTTTTAGTAGCCAGCGAATAGCAGGCTCCCCATTTGAGCGGCCTGGTCTCTGAAACCCGTGTCTTTTGGGTGGCAGTTCAGCAATTACGATTTTACAATTAGAGTCCATTGATTTGCTACCCTGTCAGACTTATATTGTTCGCCTGATTCTGGTATCGTTGGGTCGTTCTAGTAGCCAGTGAACAACAGGCTCCCCAATTAAGCGATCTGGTTTCGGATGTCAGTGTTCGTTTTGGCAAAAACGGTCATAAACCATTAGTTGTCGAGTCAAATCATAAGAGTAACTGTTCCGAAGAGTAATTCATTTAGATTCAGATAAATTTTGATAATTCGAGTTATTAAAGAAAGTAGTTCCTCAGATTCAGATAAATTTTGGTCATTTGAATTAATAAAAGAATACTTTTCTCACTTAGCGTCATTTCCGTAATCGATTACACCGCGTTAGATAGTAGATATATCTGTCTAATTTTTGCGAAAGCGTATTTAGGTGCGCTTAGAGAATCTCACTTAGGTCGAATTCCTCGCAGCGGTAGAGTATAAAGCGCTAACATTATTAATTTTGTAGAATTTCATTTATATAAATCTAGAAACCGAATTACACTTAGGTAGGATTCATTATTATAAGCGTGTTAATCAAGTAAAATCTTGTCATTGCGTTAGCTTCGAACACGAGAATCGGATATATGTATATATAAAGTATGTCAAATTTAGTTAATATTACGAAAAGCGAAGTTAACTTTATCAGAGATCAGAATTAGATACGGTCCAATATAAAGTACTAACCAGCGAGTTTCATTTCGTTAAGTTCACGATTATCTATCACATATTCTTTGATTTATCAATTTCTATTATTTCTATTATTATTATTATTTCAAGATTTATTTAGTTTCTCTATTCTAATTAATCATTTATAATCTATATACTTTTCTTTATTTGTTGTTATTGTTATTTGTTAGTTTCATTTTTATCGTTTTATTGAATAAATCTAATTGTTGAAAGATATTGACCTTTGGATTTCACTCCTTAACCGCACACCACACGAATCCCACAATCTTTATTTGCAAAATCGAGTCGTTTAGGGGCAAAAGCCGCTCTTTACCTTTTTAGCGCTTGTAACAAACTGAACTTAGGTTCCAGGGATGTTACAAATGGACAGAGTATTTCCTGGACGCCCATGTTAAAATGAGTTCGGGAGGATATTTCTGGATGCACGTTTGATATGAAGTTTTACATAAAGAAAAAAGTGTTTTGCATAAAAATTTCACTCCTAACTTCAACTATGACTACAAAGGTAATTTAATTAGACAAACAGTACCCGAAATAAAAATTCTTATGTACAATTTAATTTTTACGAAAATAAGAAAAATGGCAAATTCCAAACCTTGATATCTTTTTAACCGACTTCGAAAAAGGAGGAGGTTACTCAATTCGAGCAGTATTTTTTTTTCTTTCTTTTTTTTTCTTTTTTTTTTCTTTTTTTTTCTATGTATGTTCGCGCATTACGCCTAGCTGGATGGACCGATCGGAATGAAACCTTTTGCATATGGAAAGTGCTGACTCCCCATTGGTACCATTATCAAAAAATTTTTCATTTTTTAATTGCAAAGTGTTGTTATTGCAAAAAACCGGCAACTATTTTCTTTTTCTATGTATGTTCGCCGAAATACGCCTAGCTGGATGGACCGATCGGAATGAAACCTTTTGCAT